TGGTTGGTTGGTTGGTTGGTTGGTTGGTTGGTTGGTTGGTTGGTTGGTTGGTTGCTTGCTTGCTTGCTTGCTTGCTTGCTTGCTTGCTTGCTTGCTTGCTTGCTTGCTTGCTTGCTTGCTTGCTTGGTTGCTTGCTCGGCTGTTTGCTTGGTTGGTTGCTTGCTTCCTTGCTTGCTTGCTTGGTTGCTTGCTTGGCTGCTTGCTGGGTTGCGTAATTGCGTGCGAGCGTGCGTGCATGCGTGCGTTGGGGGGCGGGCGTCGGCCTGCGTGGGCGTGCGCGGGCGTGCGTGGGAGTGCGTGGGCGGTGCGTGCGCGTTCCTGTGTGTGGGTGTGTGGGTGTGGTGTGTGTGGGTGTGTTCGGTGTGTGGGGTGTGTGGGTGTGTGGGCTGTCTTGGGGGTGTGCTTGTGCGCGCGCATTTTTCTGGGTGGGGGATGGTGGGTGGGTGAGTGGGCGAGTGGGTGGGCTTCTGTTTACGATTCTCATAACTTCCTTGTTTGTGCTGGAAATTACTGTTGTCAGTCTTCACACTGTCGTAAGTATCACAACATGTCGCGAGCAACATCAGAGTCCCTATCGTCACTGGTCTCAACAAATTGGTCATAGAGCAGGCGCGTGGCCCTGCTGCCGCTTGGAGACTCCTGGGCTTCCGGCTCCTCCCCGAGATCCTGCAAAGGTTCTTAGAATCTTGGCGAAAGAGGAGTCATTTCATTCACGTTTGGGCAGAAGTGTCCCAACGTCGACCAGAGCAGCGCATCTGCAGTTCACTTGCGCAGTATAAGCACTTTGCAATTGCCAGAGCACCGGAAAAAACGCGCCAAACGTGGCAAAACCCAGAACACTAAAAATTCCAAGCTAAAACACAGCACATTCCCCGCCGTGGCTTGGACACGGCGATTTTTTCCAGTGCCCTTGAGATCGAAGATGAAGGCCCAGGTGCCACGAAGGCCTTTGTAGCTTGGCTTTGGGTTTCTGGGGGCCTGCGCTGATGCTGTCCGATCCGAAACGTTTCTTAGACGTCTATTTCGTCTCATGCACCACGTATTGCGTAAAGACTTGAAATGTAGATCGTCCAAGGTGCTATATCGAAGGTTCTGCTGCACCACATAATAGCCTTGGTGTGGGCCGGCCGTACCGCAGAAGGGAATCCGAGGGACGCAGACTTGAGTTGGCTGAAGACGGTTTCTCGCCCAAGTCAACCCATGAGTCTCCGCAGTTTATGCAGCTAGTCAAGCATGGTGTTTCCCATATGATTTGGGAGCCCCGGTCCTACATTGGATCCAGCGAGCAGGGACCCAAACGTGAATGGGGCCGGCACCGGCCCGATAAACCTTTCCTGCAAAGATCCGAAGCTCAGGAGAAGCCGCACCCACCGACCTGCACCAAGGAGCCTTTGTAATTCTGCGTTCCCTTCTTTGCCGAGACAGAGAACAGCCCGATAACCTGCGTCAGCACCGAGGGCCACTTGTCGAAAAGCACCTGTGAAGGGGAAGATATTGTTAGGTCATCATGAATCATGAGCCCTCAATATGCCGGCAGACGAAACTCGCTACATTGCATAACCCACTCCACTGGAGACTCCAAATAACAGGCTCCTCACTGGAGGGTCCGCTTAGAGACGGCATCCCCAGTGTTGTTAAGAAGCCCCTCAAATCCCGAGCCTTGTCGAAGTACCAGAAGAGGTTCTCGGCCTCGCCTTTCGACACACCCCCGGACCAAGACCGCTTAGCAACTACTACCCTAAGCCTTGAAACGTAAACCGTTAGCCCGAACCCCTAAACCCCAGGAAGCCCTACAAAAGCCCCAATATTCTGGACCTTACCCGCCTTAAACTAAACCCTGAAAGTCTGCCGCCCGGAGCCGTGGGAAATCAGGACGAGCTGCTGTTTAGCTTCTTGAACTCCGACTCGTTGATGGCTTTGAGGAGAAACCGCTTGTCGTGGGACATCAGAAATGTGGCACGAGACTTCCCACCAGATGTCTGAATCGGATTACCTTTCCATCATGCCGCTCTTTGAAAAGTCAAGCCCGAGACACGTTGCAAAGATCAGGCTCCACCACATCGCTACTCTCATGAAACTGCTGCAGCTAACCTTCGCAGAAGCACCTGCAGGCCGCATACTCGTGGGAGCTCAACACGAAAGCCAAGTGGCAGTGCTGCAAGGATCGGACGAAATTGAGATCGTCGCCACAGATCCAATGGCGCAGTGCATGGTAGTGGGGAGCAAAATGAATGGCTACGTGGTACCTTCGCCAAGGCTCTGATTGGCGGCCATGGATCGGGTCTTTGACAACACGAAGATGCCCCAGTTCAAAGACTTTCAGCAATGCCGGTTAGACTTGAAGCACCCCCAAGATGCCGGCTGCAGTTTCTACCGAAACAAAAACCTCAAATCACTCGCGGCAGTCCCTTGCCAGCTTTCCAAATGGCCGTCCGAGCTTCTTTGCCTGCTTGTCTTCGAAATCTACCTGCCCGGAATGCAGGGCCAGTGGGATTTCGAAATACGTGTGTCCGAAATTCGCCGAGATTGCCTTGACAGGCTCTTTGAGCACGGGAGTGTTGAGGATGGTCCGAAGTCCGGCATTGTCCATGTCCTGGAACAGGCTTCGTCGGCAAGTGCCCGCACAGAACCTAAAACGGACTATAGACAAGAAAGGGGCGCGAAGAAGTCCTGCTCCCAATCATAGCGAATCGCATTCGGCAAGTCCTGTACTGAATCCAAGTCAAGACGATAGAGTTCGCGATGATCTTGAGCCGTGCTGGATTATCAAGGCACCGGGTTTTAACTGCAAACACTTGAAGCGCGAAGTCTGCCCACTCAAGCCTCATACTCGCAGCAGTTATGGATGTGTTGCAAACCCGTCCTGAGGCCTCTTCCATTTCTTGTCCTTGAGCACCCCCATGGCCGAATCTGACAGAGTCGGGCGAGCCTGTGGAACGTCAAGATGGCACAAAACAACACACGGCAGTTGGACGTTGCATCGGCACACAGATGCCACATAGGTCTTTACTGCAAAGATCGTTGAGGTTTTCACAAAGGGTCTAACTGCACTGTCACAACTCGCAAACAGCGTCGGGCTGGGACTGCTTGCCTTCTCGGCAATGCGGATGACTTGCATGACTCGCTGAGGCACTGCATCACTTCAGTACTGAGCCGCGACCTACAACCAGACTCGCTTATTAAGGGCTTCAGCTCGACCCCCCCCCCGTTCCCCCCCTCTGGTCCTCTGGAGCACTGGTGCGGCCCGAGACAGGCGAGGGCCTCGAAGAACCGTGCAACTGGCGCATGCCCCACTCGCACACATTCGCAGACAGTGGTAGCGGCCTGCCGCTGGGAGCTCTCCGTGGAAGGCAGCTCGGAAAGGAGCGAAAACAGCATTCCTAAGATGAGGCAAAGGTCTCTCGTCTCGTGCAGCACTGAGAAGCTTCCAAGCGGCCGTGCCAGCGTCGGCTAGGGGGCAATGGGATTTCCCCCACAGTGCACTCCACTGGGAGGACATCTGCTCTGCAGCCTTTGCAAGGATATGGAAAGAGACAGATGCCAACTGCAAACCAGATCCTTCGCTCCCCTCCTGTTTAGGGCATGCTTCATCTGTGTGCCGATTACATGCCGACAGGCAGTCCCTTAACAGCCTTCTCACTCAGGAGAGCGTACGCGATGAGCGAGCCGACGTCCTCAAAGTTAACCGACCTCTGATTCTCTGATCTCTGGCACGGAGCAAGCTGCCACCTTGAAACTTCACTAGTCCAGCTCACAAGACACCGCGTCCGCAGCAGGCCCCCCGAACGCAGTAGCTGTGGTAACACGCAGTGCGTCCAAGCATCAACGAGATGCCATGCACGCAGCGCTGCAGAGTCGTAACCTGCGTGCACCAAGCGCGATCTCTCGAAAGGCACTGGCCCAGGCCGAAGCCTTGGCAACCTGGTTTGCAAACGAAACACCCAGGCGGATCCAAAGCCCCAACCACACCACACCACAAGGGGGGGAGGGGGGGGGGGGCACTCCAAGCAGACCCAAACCCCGAACCACACCACAGGGCCGGAACCACACCATACCACAGGGATCTACAGGGGAGGGTGAAGGGGGGTACCAACCATTGCGGGGAGCGAGTGGAGCGAGGGGGGGGGGGGGGGGGGGGCCGGCCGAAACGGGATCATATACAGATACCTGCCACTGGCGGGCATAAATGCTGGACCTGTAACATCCTGTAACATTACGCATGCCAAATTTACCAAACGTGCCCGGTTTGCATACTAAGAAGAAATTTTGCAGCATTTTCTGTCAACAACAGAGGACCAGACCTGGCTGCTCCGGGTTTCGACAGCGGCAGTAAAAGCTGCAGTGACCTGATTCCTGAGCATTCCGTGAGCTTTTGCATAACGCGAATCAATTCGCAGCTTCCGTGGCTGCTGAGGAAAACCAATACCTGAGCCTAGGCTCAGATGGTTCGGCAAGGCAGATGGTCCCGTCTCGCTGTCCTGTCCGTGGCTCCCACATCTTTGGAGTCTTGGTTCGCGCTTTGATATATAGTGAAGGCAGCGCAGCTCCCGGCAGAGAACCCAACCCTTCGGCTCTCACTGGTCTTCGGGGAGCTCCTGACGCTTCATGCGGCCGCCTGGCGTCTTCTGCCTGGCCTGCAAAGGAATGGACGTTCGGGGCTGGGAGGCAAAGACCGATCGGACAGGCAACTGCCTCGACGGAGCGGGATCGCCGCAGCGGCAGAGATCGCTCCTGAAGTGAGTTAGTTCACTCTCAATGCTTGGGGTTCCCCTTTGTCTCACGTCCTCGTCTTGGTGCCCGGTTTTGGCCCGAGACCTGGCATGATTTGTCTGTCCTCGTTAAATGGCACAGTGTATAGTGTCTGTGTGTATGTGTGTATGTGTGAATTTATGTGGTGTCGGCGTGTGTGTGTGTGCGTGAACTTCCTGAGCACACGGGAAAAGAGGGCCACTCCTACATCGGTCTGCTGTTTGGTACTGCAAGGAGCACAGTGCCTGTCTTGGATACCGGGCCCAACGAAGCTATTCCAAGACAAGGGATGGGTGGTCTGATCAACCACCTGTACCTGCAAAATGATGAAGAACGTAAACAAGCATCTAGCATCGTCGCTGTGCATTGATTATCCTCGTTGTTGTTTCTTGAACACTTCGCGGCAGCCGTGGCTTGTGTGAAACAACGAATTGCCGAAATCCCACAAGTGACCCTGGGAACTCCATTCACATGTCCGACCAAGGTCAGACATGATTGACAGACACTCCGAGGACATGGTTGCCAAGCCAAACAAACCGACCACAGCAGCAACGAGTTCTTCATCATCGGACCCAGTGACCGGCGAAGAGCATTCAAGGCGATCAACATCACATGAGAAGCCCCGAAGAATGTGTCCCAGGAAACCGCTCCGTTCAATCTTGCATGCTCCGGACGGCAGCTTTGTCAAAAGTCACATTGTAGTCCAATCACTCCGCTCTTAATTCGCTTGCGCAATAACAGGCAAGTTGAATGCTGCTACCCCTCATGATTATGATGATGATGATGATGATGATAACGATGGTGATGATGGTTGGTTGCACTCTTCAGGATGTTGCTGCTGCTGCTGGTGCTGCACCTCAGGATGATGATCCTGATAAGGATGATCATGATGATTCCACTCCTGGAAATGTTGATCCTGCCCGCGCGAACGCGCGTTTGGCGCGTTATAATCCAGTGCTTCATGCTGCGTAAGGCATTCGGACTCGGCCGACCGTGACAGCAACTGCCACGAGCCCGACCTGCCTCTGCACTGCTAAAGTTGCGCTTTGGACACCCTCTGGCTCGGGGATCTTCGCCGGAAGCATGTCGTGCGCCTACCGCACAGCGGCAGAGGCAAGAACCACAAAAAGCTGCTTCGTCGACAAATTACTGTCCTCAGGCGGCCAGAAGCGCTTGTAGGTCTCCTTCGCCTGGCTTTGGGTGATCACAGTTTCTACCGTGATCAGCAACAGGACCATCCAAGTCAAAACTGGTCTTGACTCGTGCTTGACTTCATAAACACCGCCCGGCCCAACAAGAGACAGTAAATTCCAGATTATTCCAGATTCACGAGAAAAACTGCCCGCGGACCAGGCCACAGGGAACTGTGCGGACAGGTATGCATGTCAGTCAAGCGGCCGTGGTCACGAACGAGGATAGGACTGCTGGCAAGGGCACCTGCGCATGCCAAAACATCTGTCCTGTTGCTGTCCTCAGAACGAACAAGCCAGCGTGTTTGGAACCGTGCCGCCACATCAGGCGACTCAGTAGTCACGCAAAGGCACCTGGAAGCCCGCGTCCTTGCTTTTGTCCTCTCCTTCGAAGCAAGGGAAGAGGACAAGCCTTCGGACCCGACCCGCCACCACAACTACAACGGCCACTCCCACTACCACTAACACTGACCCTACCACTACCGCTACCACCACCACCACCACCACCACCACCACAACAAATACGACCACGTCCACTACCAATGCCACTGCCCCCTACGACGACCACTAACTGCCGCTTGGATTAATACTGCCACTGCCACCACTCCACCACTCCACCACTACCCCTACCGCCACTATCACGACCATTGCCACTACCGCTCCCACCACTGCTCCCACTCCTACTCTACTGCTGCTGCTGCTGCTGCTGCTGCTGCTGCTGCTGCTGCTGCTGCTGCTGCTGCCGCTACTGCTACTGCTGTAATTACTGCTTACAACCACTACCACGACCATTACCACGACCACTACCACCACTGAGACCACTGCGGCCACTACGACCACTGCGCACTACTAGCACGACTACCAGTACTACCACTTCAACCCCGCTACACCACTGCTACCACAACTACCACCACCACTACCACCACTGCTGCTACGACGACTACGACGACGACGAC